ATCAGTCTGTGTAGAAGATATGTATCTTTCTACGGCGATACGTGCTAAACTTCGCAGGCCAGGCGCGTGTGGAGTGTTTTCCTTGCAAGTGAAATATGATCCAGCTTCTCGCTTGAAATGTATTATTGATGACATTCAGTATAACTTATTATTGATGACATTCAGTATAGCAGGAAGTCTTGTCATGATCGGTACGAATTTAGAACAGTTCCTTTCACAATCTCTTGTTGCAAATTACATTTTTATCACCCGAAATTATAACACATAAAGTTGCAATTTTCCAACCGCAACAAACAGACTACTCTCCTACCCCTCCCTGAGATCAAATTCAATTTACCCCCAAAATCTGGGGGTTCACGTGACCAGCTCCGACCAGGGTCTTTGCTTCCCAAGAGCAAATAGCCTGGGAACGAGGTTGACTAAAATTTTGATCTAGACAAAGATTTCATCACAGCTTGAAAGAGCATCACAAAATTAGTAATATTCCGACGTTTCGTTGCGAAATGTTGTAAAATGCCCTGCGAAATTTGCAATTTTCAGTCATTTTGTATTACAAACGGGAAATTGATGCCCCAACACCCGATTGGGCTGTCAATTTCCCATGCGTAATACAAAATGACTGAAAAACGGCAAATTTCGCAAGGCTATATTATCCGCATTTTACAACATTTCGCAACGAAACTTTGGAATATTACCAATTTTGTGATGCTCTTTCAAGCTGTGGTGAAATTTTTGTCTAGATCAAAATTTTAGTTATAAGGGGAAAGGTCCATTGGTTCCTAAATATGACGGTAGCGGTGGTGGAAGTCAAATCTGATCCTTTACAATGTTGGCTATACGCAGGTGCAGCAAAAACAGTTCGGGCGCCAGAGCTGTAGATGACGTGTCCGTGCTAGATATTCAAACTCATTGTACCTGCACGCGTAAAAATCTCAATAATCGCTTGTCAATAAGGATGTGTTCGCACTGCTTTTTCCCAGTTGTTGACAAGTCTGGAACAATTAACAATATCACGTAATTGCAATTTGATAACAACAAGCTCGTGGCAACCTGTTTACTTGCATTAGCCTTGTTGGAACAACTTGTAGAAAATCTGTTACAGTCGTGAGTCATCAACTATGCAACGAGATGATAACTTGTTGCAGATTTGTCACAACAACTGGGAACAAATTGCAAGCACATCCTGATATTTGTAACAACTTGTGCGTTTTTTCGTACTTCTAACACGCTCGTACAATTTTTAGATCCAATTCACCATTTGAGTAAACGCAGCACAACCGGTGTTCAGATGCTTAGTTTGAACGTGGAAGGGCACTCAGAATGCAAATGCGAGTGCGCAGTAACCCAGAGAATGTGTACCCTGGATCATAAGAAAGTGCTCAACAAAGATTATTGTCAATGTGAATGTCCAGTTGTTCAGAACTGTACACTGCCATTTCAGGTACTGTAAATATACGGTACACTATTTTTAAATGCTTAAGGGACTTCCGCAATGGATCTTCACCCAGGTATTTATCAAATATTTCCGATGAAAGTTTCCGGAAGATTATCTATCCCAGCCCCGACGCGATATATACTAGAGAGGTTCAGATTTGACTTCCACTACCGCTACCTCTCATTGGCGTACAGTACGTAGTATGCATCTGATTGGTTAATTGGATATATCAAATACATCTGATAGGTTAATGGTCACCTAATGCTCAAATCTGAACCTCACTAATTATTCTGCTACTTCATTTCGCGAGGCAAAGTGCTTAATTACCTTAAAATTGTTCATAACGCTATTCGGTATGACGGAATTCTGTAGCGAATTCTCTCCAGGTGCCGGTTATTCAAAGCTGGATTAGCGTTAACCCTGGGTTAAAATTTAACCAGCTATTTTAGTTTCTGTGTTTCTGCACATCTGTTTGTTTCAAAACTTCACAGAATTTTCAGACTGAAGAAATATTTCCAAGTTTACTGCAAACAAGTTGTTGGGGAGTTTGCTTTGAATTTCAAGATAGATAGATAGATAGATAGATAGATAGATAGATAGATAGATAGATAGATAGTTTATTGAAGTTTACATTGCAGCCATAAGCTGAATTAAGTAAAATTTACAAGAATTGATAAAAGAAAGGATCTTAAAACATGTTGAAGAATTCCACTATGCGTTATATATTTACAAATTAGAAAATACAATACGTGTAGCTGAATACTAATTATGCCTTAATTAGGTTACGGTAAAAAACTATTTCTAAAATGATTAATTGTTTAAAACAGTTCCTGAACTGATCGTGTTTATACTTAAATTGCCTAATACTATTGTTAATTATGCCTTAATTGAATTACTGATGATAAAACTATTTCTATAACGGTTCGTTTTTACTCTTGGGTTAATGAATTTCGTCTTTTTCCGTAAATTAAGCGAGATATTGTTTTTAGCAGGCAGTAGTTCGTGTAATTTGTGTGCATCATCGTTCATAATATTTAGGAAGACTTTGTTGGTGATCTGTTGGCGCCGTAGGAATTGGGAGGTTAGACCTGATAATAATAAGGCATCTTCGTAAGATTCTGTTGGGTAGATGATTCGCATTGCTCGTCTTTGAATAGTTTCGAGATCTCTCGAAAGATACGTAGGGAGACCATCGTGATACACTGGGCAAGCATATTCAATTAAAGATCTGATGCAGGATTTAAAAAATTGTACCAATTCCAAACAACCCACTTTGGCGCGCTTTAACTGAGTTAGGAAGTACAATCTTTTTGAAGATTTTTTAACGAGTTCGCTAACATGATAATTCCATTTTAAGTTGTCGGATACATTCAGGCCCAGAATTTTGGCATGTGGGACAACTTCAAGGGGGGCGTTATTTATCATAACGGGTGGAAAGTCTTTTTCCGATTTCGTAAAACTAATTCTCATTTCTTTACATTTGCGCTCATTCAACACGAACTTTTCGGCTTTGGACTTGCGTACGAACTCATCTACGGTTGATTGGATATGACTTACTTCGTCTTTTTTAACAGTTTCGGAGATATTTGAGTCGTCCACATATTTCCACATCACATCGTTAGAGACATTTAAGTCGTTGATCTGAATTAAGTTTCTGAATTAAAATATCATGATCGATCAGATCGAAGGCCTTTTTGAAATCGAACAATACAATCCTCACTGTTGCACTATTACCATCAGTGTCACAGTTCCATTTATGTAGCATGCTAATAAGAGCATAGGTGGTATTCAAGCCAGGTACCGAACTGTTGTGGGTCAACTTTTTTCAATACAGCTGGTTTTACAAAACACCCAACTATGTATTCCTCAGCGCCTTAGAGAGTACTGGAGTTAGAGAGATTGGTCTTAGGTCTTTATTTATGTCATTGACAGGTTTTTGCTTAGGTATTGGTACTATATCGGCTTCTTTCCATGAAGGAGGTAAGCGAGACTCCAAGAATGAACAGTTAATAATCGACATTACTGGTCGTGCAAAAAATAGGGGCGTTCTCTTTTAAAAGCCAGCAGGGAATACCATCTGGCCCAGTTGCTTTGGTTGAATTTAGTGCTAACAATTTCTGAAAAACTGATTGCTCTGTGACGGTAAATGGGGGTTCATTATCGGTGGCAAGACGAACGTTGGGAGATAATGGAGAAAAGTCACTCATTGAGGCAAGGAATGCGTTGTTAATAACATAGCAATATTAACTGGAGTCGGTTCGACTGGGTCACAAACTACATGTTGTAGAATTGAAACTGTACTGTCACGTGACACTGCAGACATCCCACTAAGTTTCTTAATTTCCTTCCACCAACCGGAAGGGTCACATTCTTTCAATTGTTTAACTCTTGAATCGTAATATTTTGCACGGCTTGACGTCCTCTCTCGATTAACTTGGTTCCTAAGTAATCGGAAGGTAGCCATGTCACCCAAGGACAAGGCTTCCTGGCGCGCACGTATCATCTTTTTAAGGTTTTCATTGAGCCATGGGGGCTCGTTAGCTATGATTGTTTTCCTCTTCATTGGAAGAAGGGAATTCATACCTGTGCTAACGATTTTTTTCAACGTCATAGTTTTTTCCTCACAAGATATCTCATTCTCTATCAATGTTTGAATGTCAACAGCTTCCAAATATGTTCTCATCGCTAAACGTTTCGTTGGTCTAATGTCCCTTGTTTTAATGCTTGTTTTGGACTTGGACTTGGATGTTATTGTTCGGGAGAGCGGTAAAACTTTAACCGTCACGTGATCAGAAAGACCAAAGGGAGAGAGTTTAATTGGGGAGGCATAATATTCTTTCGAATTAGTTAGGATGAGGTCCAAGGTGTTCCGGCCACGTGTGGGAAAGTTCACAATTTGCTTAAGCCTAAAGTTACGTTTGATTCTAAAGTTGTTAAAGTCTCCAAGCAGGATGACGCCACTGTTGGGAAAACGAGATTCGATTGTTGATAGACATTTTAATAAATTATCTAATATCTCTTGATGTATAGGGTTAAGCTAACCGGCTTTTGAACAACCAGCCCCAGAATCGAAAGTGCCAGAAATACAGTCATGGAGATTTTGCAGGATCACCCTTGGACTCCCTTATTTTTTTCGAATGTCGAGATGCTATTATTGCAATTTTAAAATTGGTATTTACATTACAATGAGAGCGTTGCAGAGCCAATCCGGCACAATACGCACCATTTTGAACAGCGGAACACTGCACCGGCGCTTCGATGCAGAAATTGATACGATTGCATAATTTCATATGTAAACACAAGCCCTATCCGGTAAGGTTTTTGCGTCGCTACGCAAGCTATCTGACATAATGTAAACATAGCCTATATCAGTAAGAAGTGTCCCTCCACGAAAATCTGTCACCACAAAGCCCTGCCCTCTTGTGCTTCAACCGTCCCCTCTGTATCGTAACAACAGGGATAAATTTACTGGGAGTTGCAGGGGGTACTCACTCCTCCTAGTCTTGCCTAGACTTGCTCAAAGTCTCTCTTTCATTGTCATATAGTATCGATCCATTATAGTGTACATTACATGACGTAGCACGGAGAGGCCGCGGAGCGAGAAAGACAGACTTGTCAACTTCGGAAAATCTCGGTTCAAAACTGAACCAAAAATGCAAGACTGCCAAGACTTGCTTTAATTGTTTTCTGTCAGTGTTTATATGTATTGATCTAGCATAGTGTAAATAACATGAGTTCCGTTATAGTAAATAATACAGAAAGAAATTGAAGGAAAACAGACTAACAGTTAA